TCTGAAGAAGCAGCGACACGACAACCACCATGCGAACGTTGTGAAGACGGAACCACCACTGTGCTCGACGCCACCACCATCGAACGGCGTCTGCTGCAGCCCCGTCACTCCGAGACGTCGAAGCGCCACTGTCACTTCGAACTGCCGCACGAAGGGCCACCGCATGCAAGGTCGCTTCTCGATCTGCCCAACGCCGATGCTATGTCGACCGACGATGTCGAACTGTGGGTAGGGGTGGGCGTGGGTTGGGTTGTGCTCCAACCCAACCCAACATGGCCGGTTTGATCTAAAATCAAACCAACACAACCCGTGTAAATGTTGAAACCCAACCCCTCCAACCTAAACCCAACCCAACATGGCCGGTTTAATCTAAAATTAAACCAACCCAACCCATGTAAATGTTGAAACCCAACCCAACCCAACCCAATCAAGTATCGGTCAGGTTGGGTTGGTCGGTTTGCCAAAGACATGCGGTATTTAGTAAGACATCCTACACTTTTTAATAATTCCTACTTGATTTAAGCTTCAATCTAAAATGTTACATAATTTCCCTTTGCATGTATAAGGATTCTCAAGCTAAAATGTTTAAATGAGCAGTTTTACTTGTTATTTAGATTTTATATACTAATTCTTCCACATCTTATACACGGCAATTACCTAATTATTGAGCTAACAACTTATCACAAGTCCTACAGTGAATTTAAAAAATTCAGCAGCTTAAAGTATAGATGCAATCTTCTATTACAATGGAGGGTAAATCAAAAGGGTTATTCATAATAAATATGCTGCTGGGCTTCTCATGCAATTTCACTCATTGATTCTTTATATTGAATCCCTAGACCAATTCTTACTGAACACCAAAAAATACCATAATTAGTGTTCAAAGAACCAATAACAGTCCAAAAGCAGTTCTTCCGCTGATGCTTCTAATATAATCATCATTATTTGAAGTTGATCTCACAGATGTTAAATTTAAAATAAACTTTGATAGATACAAGGCCAGCAATGGCCTTCTAGATAGAAAAAAGATAGATAATATCATACTAAGATACATCATCATCATCTTATAAAGCATAATGTCAATCTGAAATCAGATTTGCAGACCTTGTTGTCTTGATTATTTATACATGCTTCACAATAAACTGCAAAATGGAAGACAATAAGCAGGTAAGTATTGTTTTAGTTCTTACCGTGGCCACAATTAAGAACTGAAACTTTGATTTCATTTCAATTAAAGCATTCCACAAAAAATGAATGACTAGAAGCATTCCATTAAAGCAAAACATAGACATGTAGCTAGTTGTAAACTTTGACTTCATTTCAATTGTAATTAAGCAATAACAAACTAGATACTAGTATCAAACTAGACAAGTTGATATATAATTGTAATCCAATGTCACTAGCTAGAAAGGGAACAGATTGACGAAAATACATATAATTAAAATCTACTTCAATTGAAAAGGCAAAGGGAGCAATTATAAGAAGTAATCTAACAAAAGTAAAGAAGCTTAAGAACTTAAAACATTTCGTTCAAAACAAGTTAGTTAACAATGAATGTCAGACTGTCCTTCAAGTCTAAATAAATTAAGGTTCTGTTTGAGTTATTTGCTACACCTGGTTTTACAACAAGAATCCATCCATAAACAAAACAACAACAAAAAATCTTGGTCAAGCATTAAACAAAAGGCTTGCAAATTTTATGGCATATGGGTCTCGTAATAGTTTAGTGTAAAAAACAAAACAAAAGGTAAAACTTTGCAGCAGCTACTACTACCCAAAGGCTGTCCAACAGAAATTTAATCAACAAATATCTCTCGTGGTCAATTGAATCAACCGTATGGAATACAGATGAAAAATAATAGTAATATCTCCAGAAAAAGAAACAAATCTTCACTAACCAATGTGTCTCCAGTGAAGACAGCACGATCCTCTTCTTCTTTACCCGTGAGGTAGTAACTAATACGACCTTTTTGTAAGACTGATGAACGATTGAAGAAATAGAATTACAAAGTCAGGCCATAAAATAGTAATATAGTAAGCCAATAGTCTGAACATTATATATAATCACCACAACAAACTACTATAAATTACATATCTTAAAATCAGAAAGGGATTACTGAAACAATCCGACTAACCTGACGATGAAATCAAAGAGGAAAAATTTGGGGGAAACCGTCCGCTGCAATACTGGTAATAAACACTTCCAAGAGATAGAAAAGATCGATTAAGCGTATATATGTTGCTGCCTTGCTGGTGTTGAAGAAGAATTTGAGATGAAATTTGGTTGCATTGAAGAGTTTGGAGAGGAATTAGGAGCGAGAGGCGACTGGAGGGATGGAGTTCGGCGATTTAGGGTTTGTTTTTCAATTTAACGTAGTTTTCCCCCTTCTTTCCTTTTTTTATTTTTATTTTTATTACTGTTGTCGGGTCGGTTTTAGGGTGCTAAGCAAAAAACCGACCCAAACCGGTCGGTTTGGGTCGGGTCGGACGGTTTGCTCGGGTTGGTTTGGATTTTGCCCACTCCTAACTGTGGGTTGTGATTTGTAGTTGAGCGCCAATGATATCTGTAGTTTGTGGTTTTGATTGATGAACAACAAAAATCAATTATTTTTTGTGGTTTGGGGGATGTCTGTAGTTTGTCTATCATTATTACAAATGGTTTTGGGTGATATCCGTAGTTTGTGGTTTTTAAGAACAGAGTTACATTTAGTTAGAGGAAGGGTATTAGGTGAAGTTAGAAGAATGAATTATATAGGCTTCTCCAAGACAACATTCTTTCTGGTAAATAGAATTATGTATTATACATATATTTTCTTCTTTTCTGGCTGAGATTCGTCATTAAATAATCCGAACATTTCACGATTTTTGAAAAGTTAAGTTTATTTTTGATAGCCATTTTTTGCCCAGTGGATTTGATTTTTGAATTGTTGGAGTTTGTTGGTGGTTTTTTGATCCAATTTGATGTGGTGTGTGTGGATTGTTTGTGGTGACCATTTGTGATCAAATATGTGCTTATTGTGACTTGTTGTAACCGTTTGTAACTGTTTGTGATTAATTGTGACTGGTTAATTGTGACTCGTTGTGACCAATTATGACCGATTGTGACTTGAAATTCTGGAAATTTTTTGGAAGTTGGGAATGAGTGGATGGGGTGGGTAGGTTGATCGGAGCATGCGTTGGAGTGATCATTGGAGTAGTTTGCCAGAGGGATCGTGAATAGCTGCCGGAGAGAGCGTCGGTGTGATCGTCGAAATAGTCGTCGGAGCGGCCGTTGGAACTGTCACCGGAGAGACCGCCGGAGAGATTGCCAGAACTGTCGTCGGAGCGGCCGCCGCAGTAGATGGCCGCCTCCGATGGAGAGAAGGGATGGGGAGGGAGAGAGAGAGAGAGAGAGATTTGGATTTGAAATTTAATAAATTGGAATAATTGTATTATATTATAATTAAAAATATTTAATTAATTGACTTAACACCTGATTTTTTAAAAGATTTTTGAAGTTTGTTATTTTTTAAATGTAATTTTTATATATAAGATTTATGTATTGTTCCCATTTATAAATAGGGTCTATTATATATGATTTATGTATTGTTCCCGGGGTTTAATGTGGCTACTCTTGTTGTGCTACATCGAATGGTAAATGGATCGGAAAATATTGTCCTCGCCTCGAACGGTATATAAGATCATACTAATTACTATGAAAAAATATATATATAAGTGAAAAATTTTATACATATTAATCCAATCTAAAAAGAATTTTAGTACAGCTCTGGCTCCACCCTGATTCTCGACTACAATTTTCTCGAAAAAAATTTAAAATTTTGCAGTATGGTAAAGGAAAAGTGTTGGAATTTTAATTATTCACTTTATCCCCAAGCCTTTTCTAGGTGTGGTACCAAATACCAATTAACCAATAACATTTACCCATCTTGAGAGGCTTTTTGTCTTTGAAATTTGTAACTTTCACTCTTTAACGTGTTTGTTTGTGCTAAAATAAAAAAAACTTGGAAAAAGGAAATATACCTAATCATAATTATTAAAGAGTGTCATGTAAGCCTTTAATCTCAATGATTACATTTATTGACAAGATAATTAAAACTTATCCTCTCCTAATCATCATTATTGACTTTAATACTTTGCCCCTCTAAAAATATCATCTACATGACAACCTTCGATGATTCGTGGCAATTAATAAGGCGTCCCCCTCGTGGTCGTACATTTCATTCAATCCGCATCTGAAGTGTCGTGATTTATTTGATTGGTCCTATCATATTTGCTTGTAAATTGTTCGCTGAAATATTTCTCGACCCTATCTTAACTTATCTTAGCTATAGAGCCTCTCCATGTCCACATTCTTTGATTATATTTAAAAGTAACTTTAGATTACTAAATTTATCGACGTAATTGTAGAAAAAGATGAATGCGAAATGGAACAGAGCTGAGGCGCCCTCTCCATCCCCAAGTTAGCTTGGGATTCTCGTTAGGTGAGAACAATAATTATAGAGAATAAATGACTTATAAAGAAATGAGTAATACTATTCGTAATGAGAACTATCGGTATTCCTTTTATGTGGCATATAAATGGCGGTTTATGATCACAAACAAGACTATTGATAATCTTTACTGCAAATATCATTACTCTAAAGAAATATTTGGTATACCTAGGTTTTCCTGTTAAAAAATAAGAATACATCCTCCTATGTATCAAACTATGTCAATTGACAAAAATACCCTTGCTGCGTGGGAAACAAGAGGCCGGCAATTTGGACAGTTTTGGGTAATCCAAAAAAACACCGGTCAAAAACCGCCCCACCACTACAGACCACCTTCTTAGATTATTACAGATTTACAGGTCGTTCAGCAGACAATTCCAACACCAAAACCAATAAATTTTACTTAAAAAACATACCAAATAGTGTATATATACATACTACGTGTGTGTATATATGTAGAGAGAGAGAGAGATTTCATGGCTGCCTAAAGGTTCTGAAGTCGCCAGAAAAATGAAGCAACTGTGCCGGAAAATAGTCCGCGTCAAGATTAAGTGGAGTGTACTAGAAAAAGTGAGAATATTCCGGCAGTTTTTCAGATTCCTCTGGAACAGAATTTTTGTTTGTTCAATAGGAAAGCCTGCGGGGTACAGAAGATTTTCTCGGAGGTCTGTTTTTAATTCTTCCGATTCTTCATCTCCGCCATCCACGGCGGCGATAGAGTTTGGGTATGCCCAAAAAGAAGAGCCCACAACCACATGCAGTGGTGGGTACGAGAGTGATTCAGATTTAGTCACATTGAAGATCAGTATATTGGGTGATTGCCAGATTGGAAAAACTAGCTTTGTGGTATGTTTTACTTTATACGATTTTTTTGTCGTTGAATCCGCTTGTCTAAGAGCTTATTGTTTTTTGGCAGTTGTTTTTAATAAAAAGTCACACGTACACTACTACGAGATTAGAAAGAGATATCACATTTCGTTATTTAGAGCTTGTTTGACAAATGTTTACTGATTTCGATAAACGTTGATAAAAACATATAACCGTAAAGTTGATAAAAACTGTGAATCCTACTGTTAGAAGGTTAAAATTAATTGTTGACTTTAACCTCGACTTTTTACCTACTTTTTAAGCTTTCTTAAACAAGCACTTAAACTTAATCTTCAACCTTTGCTCAAGTTCTTGTGTGTTTTGGAGAACTGATTTTTTTTTGGTGGGTGGGTGGGTTGGTGGGGGTGGATGTTTAGATAAAATATGTAGGGGATGAAGAGGAAAAGAGAAGTCTGCAGATGAAAGGGCTAAATTTAATGGACAAAACATTATATGTTGAAGGTGCAAGAATTGCATTTAGAATATGGGATGTTGGAGGTATGTTGATCAATTTCTTCCCAAAATAAGTACTTATTGTTGTTTAGTCACTTTAAGGTGAAATGTAGCCTATATATTTTACAATTCAGTGTTTTTTTTTTTTTTAAATCTTGTCAAATTATTATGAAAATGCAGGTGACAATAGGTCATTTGATCAAGTTCCAATTGCTTGTAAAGATTCTGTAGCGATCTTGTTTATGTTTGATCTTACTAGTAGATGTACACTAAACAGGTATACTATACACCCTTCCTTCTTCAGTTCATCGTGACGTCGATGATAGGACGTAGCAATGAATCGAACAAAGAGGACTCATCTAACTATTACGTATCACGATTGTGTATTTTTTTTTCCTTAAAGCGACTCTATTATTGTGTCATTTCAGTATTATTGGATGGTACAATGAAGCTAGAAAGTGGAATCAGGTACAAAATACACTACTTTTAGAAAAGGGTAGCGAAGAGGTTTAAATTCAGTATAACATCATATTGAACCAAGTCGTTTAAAGAAAATCATACACTTGTACAACATGCATGCTTTTCTCTAAAAAGTAGCATTAAAGCTGGTTGGCGTTGGGGGGGGGGGGGGGGGGGGGGGGGGGGGGGGGGAGGGGGGGGGGGGGGTGGGGGGGGGGGGGGGGGGGGGGGGGGGGGGGGGGGGGGGGGGGGGGGGGGGGGGGGGGGGGG